TTCCCTACAACACCGAGTATGCAAGATGGTGTCCTGTTACTCTTAAAGGGCAGGGGAGCAGGATCTTAAGGATAAATGGCAAGAGACAACTCAGTTGAAATCCTAGCACTGTAAAGATGACCCCCGCAGCAGCACGGAAGGGGACCCGTGGCTATGATTCAAACAAAAATCTTGGGCCACGCTGGTGTTGCTTACAGTGGGGATGAGCAAATCACTTTCTATATAATTGTAAAATTGGATTTTCTACAATACAAGTATCTCCAGTTATCTCCGGAACTGAGGTAAAAAACCTGAAAGCCGAATTGTAATGCAATTTGTCAAAATAAATACAAACTATAAGAGGGCAGGTATTGTTGGGGAAGTTTTCGGACTGCTTGCTGTGTCCTTCCTTACAAGCCCCACCTTCTCAGTTTCCTTTACAGGCTCCTCTTAAATGTTGGAATTCCTCTGGATGAGGTTATGGATTATACTCTGCACTCTCTTCCCATGGCTTTAAATATTACCTATACCCTGCAGACCCCCCAAATTCATACCTACAGCAACAAGATCTTCGCTCTCCTACTTCTCCAACCTCAGCTAGAGTCATCATCCCACTCAGGTCTGGTGCTTCTGGCTAAGGTGGCTCTGGATCAGTTTCTAGACTCACCAGACTTTCCTGCTTGGGAGTCTATACACATACTTAGTTTATGCGTCATATGTTTCAAGTCTCAAATCATCTCAGGCCTTCCAGGACAAACAACTGAAGTAGCTGCCCTGTATTCCCTTCACCATTTTCTATCACAGTAATTAGTATTTTTTCTATTCACTTGTCACTATTATCTGTACTTCTTTTATGCATTTATTTTTTGTTCACTAGTAGACATAAGCTCTATGAGTGCCTTCATTCACCAATATATTCCTGGGGCCTAGCTTAGTCCCTATCTCAGAATGGTGCTTGATAAATATTTGTTATATGAATTAATGATAGAGATCGCATTGCCTATTCCATTAGGGCCTTGTATATGATTACTTCTCAAAGTCTTGATTTTTTTCATTTAATTTTTAATCAAATATTAAATGGAAAATTCCAGAAATAAACAATTCATAAGTTTTAAATTGTGTGCTGTTCTGAATGACGTAAGGAAATGTGATGATATTCTGCTGAGGATGTGAATCATCCCTTTATCCAGCATTTCCAGGCTGTATACTCCCCACCTGATAGTTACTTAGTAGCCATCTTGGTTATCGGATCCACTGTCATGGTATCGCAGTGCTTACGTTCAGGTAATCTTTATTTTCTTAATAATGGCCCCAAAGCCCAAGAGTAGTGATGCTAGCAATTTGGATATGCCAAAGAGAAGCTGCAAAAAGCTTCCCTTACATAAAAAGGTGAAAGTTTTTGAAAAATTTTAGAAAAAAAAATCACATGCTGAAGTTACTAAGATCTATGGTAAGAAGGAAACATGGATCAGAAATAGTGAAGTTTTGCTGTTGCACTTTGAACTGCAAAAGTTATGACCACAGTCAATGATAAGTGCTTAGTTATGACAGAAAAGGCATTAAGTTTGCAGGCGGAAGACATGAATGGAAAACAAGTTCCAACGTGTTGTGACAGAAAGCATTGAGCCTAAATGACTTAAGCAAGGGATCTCCTGAAGTGAGTGACACCAAGCCATTTACCATAAGCAAGGGATGGTTTCACAGATTCAAAAATAGATTTGGACAGAAAAATGTAAAAATAACTGGAGAGGCAGCATCTGCTGATAAGAAGCTGCTGCCACATTTCTGGCAAAGTTGAAAAAGTTGTTGAAAGAGAATGGATACCATCCAAAGCAAGTCTTCAATTGTCATGAAACCAGGCTCTTCTGGAAGACGATGCCCAATAGAACCTATTGTCATAAAAGTGCAAAGGAGGCACCAGGGCATAAAACATTGCAAGGACAGATTAACTCTGATACTATGTGGCAACACTGCAGGGCATATGATAAAGCCAGGCGTAGTGTACAAAGTGAAGAACTTACACACTCTCAAAAACAAAAATTGTCTGTTCTCTGGCAACATAATCAGAAAGCGTGGGAGACAGCCATCTTGTTTATGTTACTATTCTACAAATGCATTCATCACAAGAAAGATGAGTACAGTACAATAAGATATTTTGGGAGAAAACAGACCAAATTCACATAACTTATTGTTTTAATTCTATTTTATTATTTGTTTTTAACTTCTTACTATACCTAATTTATATTAAACTTTATCATAGGTATGTATGAATAGGAAAAAACAGTGTATATATATATAGGGTTCAGTACTCTGCAGTTTACTATAGATATCCATTGGGGATCTTGGAATGTGTTCCCCTCTGAGAAGTGATTTCTCTCCTTTTAATAAAAACTTACATGATGATTATGCCAGTTGTATTCTAAGTGTTTTTTAATCACAACAACCAGAGGAAACAAGTGTTATTATTATCCCCATTTCACAGATGGGGATACTGAAACACAGAGAGGTTAAATAATTTGACCAAGGTCACACAGCTCACAAACAGAGATAAGACCAGAATTCAACTTCAGGTAGTCTGGCTTCGGAGTCTTTGCACTTAGCCACTCTGTCCTGTAGGTTTATATGTGCCCTACTGAGACTGTGGTAACTCTTAACACTGACCCTGCTGCTGGCTGTGTCCCCCAGGTCTGGGAAAGATGTACGTAATAAATTAACCAGGCATCCTTAGTTTCACAGTTATCATTCCCTCCATGCTGGAACACTTCTTCACTAGGCCACACTGGGTCTTCCTCCCACCTCACTGGCCTCCTCTTCTCAGTCTCCTTTATGGCTTCTCTTCTATTCTCAACCTCTCTTCCTGCTCAAGATAAAAAGCCTGGGAGTCTTGCTTCCTCTCTCAATTTCAGATTTTTCTCTTATCTAAAAATAGTCTCCTCCTATGCACCATCTAATGCTTTACTCTATTTGATTTTTCTTCAAAGCATGTACTGCTACATGAAATACATATTTATTTCACTTGTATGTTTCCTCCACTAGCACGTAAGCTCCATGATGGACTTAAACTATCTTAACTTGGGTTCTTTTCATATGTTCTGTGTTTCTTTTACCATTTTTTGCCTTCTTTAAATTTTATTATTTTATTTTTAATTAGTTTGATTATTTTTTTATTTCATTTTTCCCTCTACTAATTGAGAAGTTTTATTCTTTGATTCTATTGTTTTAGATAAATGAAAACATGCATGCTGAATTCATTGGTGGCTAAAATCTAAAACAAAATTATCTTTCTCCCAGATAACAAAAACTTAAGAAAGCTTTTACTCCATTAACCCTTCTTTTGACATACATACAATTATCGCCTAGTATTTTAAGCATATCTTTTCTTTGAATCTCAGTAAACATTATTATCATCACTACTTTTTGCAGTCATTTAAAGAAATGTTTACCCAGACTTTTATCGCTTTCTTTGCTTATCTTTATGCATCTCAAACTTCCATCTGGGATCACTATTCTTTTGCCCAAACTCTCTATGGAGAGGTTCTCCAAGTAGGTAAATTTTCTCTTTTTGTCAGTTTGAATGAAACTCTCGAACTCTTGCTCAGGGGGAGTGCATTCTTTGACAATCATTCAGGAATGGAAGAGGTGAGAACATTAATGGAAAATTATCATAATTCCCCATAACTGCACAATTCTACTGTGTCTGAATTTCAAACATTCCATATGGGCTAAAACATCTCATTTATGATGCCACAGTTCTCCTTTGCTGAAGACATGTGTAAGCCAATAAAAGACAGAAGCCATACTTTGGGTTCTGGTGCCAAAATTTAGAAGTTCTCCTTTATTTCAAACCCAGAGATTTTATTTATACCACAGATTAAGCATCAGAGTAAAGCTGAGAATGAGTGAGATATATGCTTATCT